TGCATCCCAAAATTGTAGTGGTTTGGGTGGGGGTTTTTTTTTTTTTTTTTTTTTTTTTTTTTTTGCAGGGGAGGGTGCATTGGTTAACCTGATGGATAGCCCCTCATCAGAGCTAAACTACTAAAGATGATCTGAAGCTCCTATGTTTAATAGTTTTTGAGTTTTTGAGCTATAACCATTTTTGTATGTCCAGATACCCTTTTTTCAGATAAATTGGGGTTTGGGGGGGCATTGTTTGGTGGTCCTGATGGATAGAGCTTCATCAGAGCTAAACAACAAAAGAAATCTGAAGCTTTTGAACAGTTTCTGAGTTATAAGCATTTTTGCATGTCCTGACACCTCCCTCTTTGAAAGGAGCCCCCTTCTCAAATATGGGGTCTATCGTAAAATCGTTGGCTGGCGCAGTGTAGGTCGGACTCATCTACAGTCCTGCCAAATTTCATGTTGATCAGTGCAGCCGTTTTTGTGCTACGGTTGACCAAAAATCACTGAAAAAAAAACCAGTACAAAAACAATATGACTTACACTTTGCATGCGGAGGTCATAATAAACTTAGTCTCAAACGAACGAAAGTGCAAAACTTAAAAAGGTCCAGAAACGTCCTGTCGTCCAGTGTACCTGAACTGGATCACAGGATTTACAATATATGGACAAACAATCATCTAAAATAAAATCAGAGCTGCAGTATGTACAGCTGTGATGCAGAACCTTGATTTTAAAGCAGTCTTCCTAAAATAAAGCAAATAAGAAAAAATCTACTTGTATATTTGTATTAGGAAATAAAAATTATGTGGAAGTCACATTTTATTATTATAACATGCTCCTAATAAGGAGGATATGCTGCAATAAACTGATAAAAGTTTTGAAGTGTTAGTACTACAAGATTTCTGTCTTTACTGTCATATTTGAACTTATACAAGAAGTTTTGTTTCTATTTTAAAGTAACTAATGTAAAGCTACTAATTTAATTTTAAATAGCCTTTAAAACGCTTTGACTTTCATTTAATTGGCTGATTTGGGGGATAGTGAAACCACCTAAATTAGACTCACCTGTATAGTTCTATAGGAGAAAATAAAAAAAAACATGATTTTAGAGTAAATTTTTATTGGAATGTTTCAGTGCTCTGCAATAAAGGTTTATTTAAAAGTGAAAAATAAGTAAAAATGTTCAATTTTCATTTCCAAAATGAACTGGATGTCCTTTGGTTTGTTTTATGGCAGAACCAGCTGTCAGGGAACCTGCTGAGGAAGTTCAAGAACAGCAACGGCTGGCAGAAGCTCTGGGTGGTCTTCACCAACTTCAGTCTGTTTTTCTACAAGTCTCACCAGGTGACGAACACACACAAGTCCCTGCCCCCACCTTTCTGTCATCATGCTGGTTTCTCTCATCTAATATCACATCTCAGTGCAGAATATYAAATATGTATGATCGGATGTCAGATGTGAACACTTGGTCTCGTGTGCTTTTACAGCTCACTTCCTGCCACTGCAAATGTTCAGGGAGTTTATTTGGACACATTGGAGTCCAGTCACACAAAAAGGACCAATGTAAAACTTAACAGACCTGAACTCATGTCACACTCCATCACCAAAATGAGGATGTGGCTGCAGGATCGTACATTCAGCAGGTTACAAAAATAACAAAAACAGAGCGTGATTATCAAACAAAGTCAGATTTAGTAAATTACACATCATAAAGTATTGTGTTTATGCGTGTTTAATGTGCTTTGACATTCAACTGATATCAACGTTTTCTTTCCACGTCTGCGGTTATCAAGAAGAACAAAGTTTTTCCTCCTCAGACTCCTGTGTGAAAACAACTACTGCTGTTGTTTACATGCTTGGTTATGTGTGACGTACAGCAGGAAGGAGAGCCACAATAGTCCAGTTATATATAAGAAAGTTTTTAAATTTAGTGTAGTAGTACATTAGTAATAAACGGTCAGAATTGACTCCCTTGTACAATACAACCCTCCAACAATACGGATGATTTTTGGGGTTAAATTTCTTGCATTATAAACGCATAAATACTATATTTATTTTCTAAAAAGGTCGGGGGGAAAAAAATTGATTTATTTGCTTGATAAAAAAAGGTGTTTTAGTGTTGTTTGTCATTTTAACTTCATAAAGAAGTAGTTCTTCTTTTCACATGAAGGCCACTCAGTGGTCACTACACTGCAAAAACTGTCCACCTTACCAAGTTTTAAAATCTTATATCGGCCAAAAAGTCTTTTTGATCTGAGACTGATTTACTAAACAAGAACTGATTGTGTAAGAATAATAATCTTGTTTTCAGATTGTGTAAGATTATTTGTCTTGTTAGTCTGAAAATTTGACTCAAATTAAGTCAAAACTTTCTGCCAATGGAGTAATATTTTACTTGGTAAGATTCTTGAGGTAAGAAAAAACTGAGACAAATCAAGTATTTCAAGAATCTTACCAAGTAAAATATTACTCCATTGGCAGAAAGTTTTGACTTGAGTCAAATTTTCAGACTAAGAAGACAAATAATCTTACACAATCCGAAAACAAGATTATTATTCTTACACAATCAGTTCTTGTTTAGTAAATCAG